CTGACTTTTATTTGAAAAGCACACATTTGAGATTGCATCCATAAGCATAATTATAACCATCTGAAGTTAGAAAGTAAGAATGTGTACTAGTTCTTAAGCATTTGCTTGTGAAATTGGGTAACTATGGTAAGTATTAGAACTTGAAGTAATACGACCATAAAATTATTTTGCGTTTTCAGGTCGCTTATCTTGCATCTTTAGGAGGGAGTCACATGTTTCCTATATTATTGATCTTGTGCTATCTTTTCCATCATATCTTATTTCAGAATTTTAAATTTGCAAAGTTATAAAAAAATCAGTAACATGTTTGAAGTTAATTTAAATACCATGGATATTAATTGATGAAATGTATTTTCCATTCTAGTAATTGTATCATTATATTTATGTAGGATATCTGAGGCATGTCAGCAATCAGTATTTTTTGACTATTTGGTGCATCAGAAAAAAAAAATGTTCTTTTCTTAGAATTGCTTATACCTCAAAGCATTAACAAAGATTCTGATTGGATGTACAATCCTGAATTGCTGGCTGAATCCTGTATGATGTAGTTAGTCAAGCAAACGTAGCAGAGCGAATATATCTTCAGTTTCTGTAAACTCCGAGAACTCTAAGATGAGAGAGTTGGAAACTCAGAGAATTGAATGGATAGGGAGAGCAAGTTCACTGTATGGTATTTATTTCTTAAGCAGCAATATATAGCATTTGATAGTAGTATGCTACTACTGGTACTAATTTTGTTAACTCCCTGCCAGTATGAAAACTGCCTCAAATCCTGTGATCTTCCAGTGTGCTTTTGTATCAACCAGTATGCTGAGTGGTTTTGTTTAAATATGCAGAATGTTGCAAAATTGACTTGATGAAAGATATTTCTTTTTTAATCCCAGATGTGTTGTTTAGTTTGTTTGGGATTTTTTCAGACAATAATCATCCTTTTTCTCTGAAATTATACCTTTACTAGGTTTAACCCTATTTCTGGGACAGCTGTTGCTGATGACAATTTGTGAATAACAGTTCTTTTAAAGGAATTGTGAAATGCATAATAATTTGTTCTTTGCAAGCATTTATTTTGAGTGTAATGCCTTGTAGATTACAAATAAACATTAATATGCGTAAAAGTTATATTTTCAGAAATACAAGAGCATGCATACTAAATACTGCATTTGTATTGCAGAAAGTAGATCAGGTTTACGGATGTAAGAAATTAGCAGGCTTTTGGATTAATAAGGTAGAAATCATGCAGGTAGTTCTTACACTGTTTATGGATTCCATAGTAAATTTGGAGCTGATATGTATGTATTAGTCTATGTTGAAGCACTTGGTTGATTCTCTGTAATTTCTCTTTTACCAGCACAAAGGATGATCATTTCAATGTTAACATTCAACCGCCTGTTGGAGAACTGCTTTTCCCTGTCACTATGTCAGAGAAAGACTTTAAGAAGGAGCAAGGTGAGAAATATTTCAGCAGCTTCAATAGATGTGTTTGGATGAGAAGAGGGCTGTGTGCCTTTCAGTTTCCAAGCATACAGCAAGTGCTTCCAGTGTAGCTGTTTGTGTCTCTGTTAGTATTCTGCCTGATACTAATGATTTAATTTAAAAATATCTTTAAGAGGATGTGCCGTGGTATCTGACAGCTTTTCAGTGTGCCTTTAAAAGCACAAAGCCCACCCTTTACCCTGAAACAGTCTTTTGGCTCAGAGAGTTTTGGCCTCCTATCGTGAAGTATGAATGTCTTTCCTACTGGCAAAAAGCTGGAACCCCAGCTCAAGGAAACAAACCAAATATACATCGATAGAGCATCTGTCTTTACTAGTCTTTATTCCAAGGCTACTTTAAAATGCTACCAGTATGTTCCTCAGCTACTTTGAAAATTATTTGAATCTTTTTCTTTTCAAATACTTCATATAAAAAAAATACTCTTGTTGGAATACTGTTTTAGAAAGGTGACATGTTTTACTTCTGCTTGCTTCTAATGTTGCATCTTTAAAGAATGTAAGTTTCTGATGCTAGTTCAAACACAAACCTCCGTAAGAGTTTTTAGTGACTTGAATATTTTATACAAAACAATTAGAGAAAATTGTACTTAGCTTTGATCGTGCGTTAAATGGAATAGTCCTACTGCTACCCTTGGTTTCAATATGATCCTTGGATATTTTAAAATATAAATGATTACATTTTGGATGCATTCAAATGTAGAAGTGTTTACTCATCTGTCTAAACGTATGGGGATTTACATGTGTAAATCTCTTCACGTTGAGATGAGAATATACCCACGGGATCCTGTCTCATTGCTGTGTAAGGCTCAGAAACTCAGTATATCCATCAAGCAGTCAAGAACACCAATGAGTAATGCTATGTATTATTAATTATTGCTTTTGAACATTTCTTGCTTTTGTATTATTTGAATTATTAAGAAAGTGGTTTAAGTGTTGCCTACATCATTTTCAGTTAAGCTTATGGATGCAGTGAAAAGTTAGGATTGTGCTTTGTTTTCCTAACCAATTGATACTTATTTGCTGTTCTTACCCTTTGCTGGCTAAAGCCTGCCTCTCTGCTTTATACCTGCTCAGCAAACCAAGGTGAGTGATTGAACGAGGCTTTGGCACATTTATTTTAAACTGTTCCCTTCTAAAAATTGTAGCTGAGATTGTAGTGAAAGGAAGGCAGGTTACTGTGCATTTTCCCTCCCTGTTTTTATATTTACCTTCCCTGTTTTTATATTTGCTTGCTTTGTGGTATTTTGATAAGAGTTTTTGTATGTTTCACTGTGACTGAGGGCTTTTTTTCCTCCTGACTGGCCATACAGAACCACAAGCACATAGAAGTGTACTTAGAGAATAGCTGTGGTCCTCTGTGGAGTTGTTGCCAAAATTCCTTTTTCTTCTGCCATTTTACTTCTATGGTTGTTGATTATTTGTCTGAATAAATCTGGCAGCTGTTTGCTATGTTTAATAGAGCAGAAAGGCTACTCTGAATAAAGCTATTTGAAAATTTGTTTATATGAAGTATTTGTAAATCCATGAAGGTCTCTTGGCATTTCTGTATCGCTGTCTCTGTCTTCCTGAATTCATTCTTTGATGCAGGACTTGATGCTGGCAAATTTACTACAGGTTTAAAAACCTTTTCTATTGCATCTTTTTTTCTTATAGATGTTTCAGAATATTTGTGGTAATAGAGGTCTCAGTTCTAAATTTTACATAAGTATTTATTACAAAGATCTAGGAGCAGCTAGCATTTGGGAAGAATTACTATGCGATCTTGCTAAATGAAAAATCCAAATTACAATAATAAATGTAGGGCAATTTAGAAGTTGGTATATATTATTCTATTTTGTGTTTAACTTCGATTTGTCTGTATTCTCCAAATAAATCTGATTTATATAACTTGTTTCTCACTTGTCATCCTTTTTCTTTTTCCTTTTTTTTCATTTTTGGACATCAGATGTTTCAAGTCTTGTACCTGGGGATGCCTTATTTTATTTGTGACCAAATAGTGAATACGTAAAAAATAGTGAAGGAATGAGGAGAATATTAGACATGCAAGATTATATTGGGGGAGAATGAGAATATGTATGGGTTTTAAGGATTTTTACATCTTAATTGCATGTGTAACCTAATAAGAATGCTGAAGAGGAAATGACTGGTATTATACTGCTGTGTAGCAGACAATTCATTGCTACACATCTTTACTCAATTACACTCTGCTGTTTTGCATTGTGGCTTACATTTGTATATGTCCATTTTCTTCCTGATGGTATAAGGAGAGGGGAGCAGACAGGTTATTGAATATTCATAGCTGTGAAGGTTATTGAGTAGCGGCAGAACCTCAAAAGCTGGATTTATCCACATGCTGTACATGATAAGCTCGGCCTTGCTACACCATCTTCCCTTCCCTTCCTTCCTGAGCTGGGGAATCCTCCAGTGAGGTAATTCCCCAGAGCAGCAGCTGAGTTAGTGGTCAATGTTGTGATGGACAATTTGGAAGCAGAGGATACAAATAGTATTGCCAAACTGCTCTTTACCTTTCTGGTTAAAAACTTTTACTGATCTTCAGGCCTCAAGATCTTATACCCTGTTTTACATCACATCCCCATGAAAAGTCCAGTTTCTGTAGCAGGAACTGTGCATGAGTGAGACAGGTACTGTTGGAAATTCTGTGTCCAAGTTCTTACTTGTCCGCTTTTTTAAAAAATCAGTAGCAAAACTCCACTTGCTTAGTTTAGAATAGGACTAGTCTGGTACCTAACATACCTTGTTACCTATCAGTGTAATTTTTCTAATTTCATTTCCATTTATTATTAAACATGTGTACAGTTATTTTATTGTATCAGTTAACCCAGATTAACTACTGCTCTGTGCTCTGAATAGAGTTTTCTTAGATTCTCATGTTTCAAGCAATATTAAAGGTGGCATGCAATTTTTATAGCTGGATATTAATCAGAATTTTTATGAACATGCTTTTAAAATAGTTAAAACTGCTTTTAAGTATAAAGACCCCCTTTGGACATATTTTTAAATAATTTAATCTTTTTTTAAAAAAAAACCCCAACCCACACAAAAACTAAACATGAGAAGCAACAAACTAGAAAACCAAAGACCTTGGGTAAGTAAACAAATTGCATACCCGATTTTATTAAGATTTATATATCCAACTTGTCTTCCTAACAAGCAAGATGCTAATTCTTTAAATGGTTGGACATTTACTGTTTTCTGGCCCTTGACTACTCTGAGCAATCATATTTGATGCCCCTTAATTAGAGCACCCTTTTTTCTTTCCAGGTTCTTTTCCACCTCAGCAATCGAGACAATACATTTGCTTACCATGCTGCTCTCCTAAGTGTTCTTTTGCATGTAAATTAATCTTGATTCAGTTTACACTGTCATGCTGAGTGGTACAAATTGCCTATAACAATAAAACAGCATGAGTTAAAAATAAAGGGGGGTGAAAAGGCAGATTGAATGTGTGCCTTACTTGATAGGATGTTACTTTGCTTTATGCCAATACATTAGTCGACGATAATGAATCTTCTGTTCTGAAAAGCATGGTTTAGTTGATTTTTTTAATTTTACTTCAATGGAGCAGTACCTTGTCTTTTATAGAACAAGTTAGACAAACCATTAATGACAAGAGTGTTAAGGTTAAATATGAAGCAATGCATTCACTTCTCTGAGTGCTATCCATCTTTCCATTTACAGGAGCTTGACAAAAGTACTGGCTTTGTACAACATTTCCTTTAATTACATGCTGCGGGAAACAGGCTTTTAACATAAACATGGTTGCATTCATTTATTCAGCATTTGCTCTTCAATAGAGCTTAATGGAGAAGGTTTAAATCCTAAATGAGTACACACATCTCTCAGCAGTGTTATGTCAGTCCCTGTGCTCTGCTTAAAAGCAGTTTTAGTCTGCGTATGTAGTTTTTAAAGCTTTTGCCTAATAGTGAAGTTAAACAATTTGAAACAGAATGTCCTATTCCCAAGATAAAGCTGATCTTTATAGAAGTTGTATGCTTATTTTTGTTCTCTTCAAGAGCAGATCATGTTCAAAAATATCCCGTTATTTACTTATGAGCTGTTCCATTTTTACTTTGATATTTCTTATTTTGTGGCAGTAGCTAATGCACATTCTAGTGCATTAAATTGTTGGATTTATTTTTTAATTGCTCTATTAAGCATCTTTGTGCCATTTGCTCTGGGTTAGAACTGTATGTGCAGCCTTAAAATATTAGCCTATTGAGACTTTTTCATTGTTTTCATTGTTAATGTTATTGTGGATTTCAAATGCTTCATATTTCTGCCTAAAGTACTGTGCTGCATTGTTTGTCTGCGTTTTCAGCTTCTGAACATAGTGTAAAAAGACACACACAACGTTAAGTTGTAGTTACTACTGGGCTTTAATCAACATGAGCATCCAGCAGATCATTCTTCTAAACAATGGATGTTGATAGAAGAAGAAAGTGGGATTTTTTGATAAAATGTCATTGAACTACATTGCCCTCTTTACTTTTTTTTGGTCATGGGTTTGCATATCATCTTGACATTTCTGTTTTGTTTTATAGTGATACTCAAATTATTTTAACCGCATAGTTAATCATGACATTTTAGAGAGATGGATACTAACTGAATCTCCTAGTTTCTGATACAATAACTTTATCTTTGTGATCTAAATTGAACCAATGACTACTATCTTAATTTCTTTTGCAGTTGAATGAGAAATTATAATTAAATGCAGTGGTTTTATGATTGAAAGATTAGGAGGTGTCTTTGTATATCATTTTACTTAAGCTGGACTTTTCCAAATCAGTCTTACTTACTATTTCATTTTTGTGTTTACATACTTCTTTTAAGTTATGCTTTTTGTGAAAGAGAACCATCTTTGTTTCACAGTTGCATTAGTTCAGTTATTAGTAATTTGTTTCTAATGATAGGGCATTGCAAATAATACATTAAACTAATGTAATTATGTAATTTCTTATAAAATTGTTTTCTCAACGAATGATTTAACTTCAATGCAATTGCAGTTTTTTGTTTAGAAGTCTGTTATTTTCGTTTTATGCTTAATAAGTGAGCAAATCTTAAAGTATTCACAATGAAATACTTCATGTTTCAGGGATGCTGACAGGAATGAATGAGACATCTGCTACAATAGCTGTTGCTCCGCAGAACTCTACTAGGCTTGTAATAATTGAGAGGATAGTGAAAGCAGCAAACCTGGGTGTAGTGCCTTCTGGTCAAGATAACATACATAGGTAAGATTACATGTCATTCATAGTGGAACCATCTTTTAGTATGAATTTGTTAGTTAAAAATTCACCAACATTTGATATTATTAGGGAAAATTTTGTTTTCCAGACCTTTAACAGATAAAGTACCCAATTATACTGTAACATAGAATCCTAAGCAGATATTAACTTTAACCGAAGTACTCCTCTGCTCTTTATTTGAATGTATATAGAACAGTGAAATCTAGACTTTACTGTATGCAGGTAGGGGGAGTTGTCTCTTCCTGATTTTGTTTCAAAGGGACAAGGTAGCCTTTTAAAGCACTTTCAAGTGAATCTGTGTGGTTTTTTGGCTTTTGTTTCTGATTCTGAAAGTAAGTGGCCTTATTCAGGTTAATCATCTGTGAGAAGCAGCTTGTTTTTCCCACATTAATTTTTAACCTATGATATTCAACTAGTTAAACCTAGAACCCGATTTTTTTTTCAGTTGGATGAAAACCTTTAAAAGGCTGGTTGAACATTAAATTGAACATTTCCTTGTCCTTCCTGTATATATGCAAGGAAAAAGCGATCAGCCAAAAAAGTAATTGGCCCTGTCTAAATTCTAGATGTTACTTGTAGATCAATCCATTTCAGCCAAAGGCTGTGATACAGAATGTCAGTGGAATTGGTATGAATGTCGGTTAATGACAGCTTTTAATATGATTGACTGAAAATATTTAGTCCTGTGAATCTGTATGGCTTCTCACTTGTGACAGAAACAAACAGGAGAATTGCCATGTGTGGAGAAATGAGTGGACACAAATAACAACAGCAAGACGTAACTGGAAACTGTTAACCTGGTCTTAGAATAAGAAAATGCATACATCTCTCCTAGCATCTACCAAAACTCTTCCAGTTTGAATTAATTTTTAGCCCCCTGAATTTTGCTATTTCGATAAGAGCAAAATATCTTCCTTTAAAGCAAAGAAAAATGCTTTTTCTTTGAAATTTTGCTGACTGAGATGGCTGTTTGGAATGGTGAGAATCTTGTAGCCTACACAGGACTAATAACCTCATATTTCTGTTCGTTGGATTTAGTCCTTTTTGCATCACTGGGCATTTGTGTTGCATTGCATTAACATTAACCCAGCTGGATTTTCCTATGTATTTGATACGGTCAATGATAAAATTCTGTTTTACCATAAAAACATGGTACAGCTAGTGCAATTGCACTGAAATGATTGGCACTATTGACACCTGCTCCTCCATGAAAGAGTCCTCATTTGTTACATCCCTGAGGGATCTATACAGCCTGCATTCTCAACATCAATTCAAAGACTAGGTGAGAATGTCAGTCAGGAGAGACTGAAGTGTCTGCAGTGTACAGGTGTTCTCCATTTTTACCCTATCCATCACGTGAGACTTATCGCATAGGGATGGATTGTTTTGTGACTGAGTCTTAAAAAGGCTTCATAAAATAATAACTTAGTTCCTAGCTCAGCCACAGGTTTCCTGGTTGCGGAGAAGTTTCTAATTTGATCTTGCTTTCTCTTGCTCTTTTTTTTTTTTTTTTTTTAATGAGGTTTTTCATAAAACAGAGTCTCTGACCAATAGTAAATAAATTGAAGATGTACTTCCTCTTGGGTATGCTCCTTCAGAGACAGTAGTTGAAGGCATGCTCTGGTCAGGCTAAAGTATTCAGAGTGCTTCAGAGCATCTTGAAATATTCTTTTATTTTTTTTGATTCAAAATAGAATGTATTCAGGCTGCCACAGTAGTTACAAAATAGTTTGCATTTATAATGTCCATCAGGCAAAAAAAATTGTTTATAACAACTTAAATGGCCTACCAGAAATGCCCATTTATGATAAGCATTTAGAAAATAGCCCTTCATTTGCTTCACCATAAGTAACTGGAGCTCACAGATACTACGTAATCATAATTGCACCTAGTTTTTACTGAGAAAAGGAATGGGAACATTAACTAATTGATACTGTGATGAACCTGTTTATCTTTTAAATAGCACTACATTATCATTAAAGTAAATCCTAGATTTAGATGAATGAATATTTGAGATGGAGATTAGATAATGAGTACTTTCAAAACTCTGAAGCAAATTATTGAAATATTTATATATATGTATATATGTACATATATTTGGATTACATCAACTGAGAGTAAATAAAAATGGAGTATCTCGTAATCTCATGGTGCAAGTGTGCCGTATTTTATTTATGTGATACATATACCATTTCAGGATGATAAAATAAACAGTCACCTTTTACCTTGACAAAGCAGTTACTGATTCAATAAAAATATGTTGAGAGTTGTTTTCTTTTTCTATAGTATTGTCATTTGTCTTGTTTGTTTTATTGCAAGTGGTATTTGGGGAAAAAAACTATATGTAAGAACTTGTTGCAGTTGTCATGCTAGTCTGTGAGGACTACTTGAGTTCACTTCTTGGAAGAGCTTAGTACATATTCTTTTACACAGGAAAATAAGTACTATTTTTAAATTAATGTTCTGCATTGTGCAGCATGAACTATATTAACCTCTTAGTTGGTCATCCCTGACTTGAGTATTACTACTTAATGACAGCTGATGCCAAGAAATTTACATTGCATAGTAATGCAATATACTCATTCAAAATGAAATTGTATAATATAACACAAGTGTATCTAATGGACATGAACAGGTGTATGTTCCTTGGTTTTTTTTCAGTCTAAACATATTTGCACTCATGACAAAGATGTCATGCTGGTGGGATGCAATTAATCATCCTTAAATTGATAAACCCTATATAGGATTGTATTTTTGTGCTAAATAAAACTACTTAGAGCAAATATAATGAAGAGTTGAAAATAAATACTTGAAACAAATATCAACAGAATAGCATGTAGTCACCAATGAAAAATGAAATAAATGTAAACCTGTCAAATCCATCAACTATATGTCTGTATCACAGTATAGCAGCACTTCCTTACGTGCATTTTTCCGCTGTTTACCATACAGCTACTGATTTTTTATATTTACTTGAAATGTAATAGTTTAACTGTGAAATGGATGTAGAACAAAATGCCCGATAATACTGTTGATTCTATTTTAAACTCTTTTCTGACCTACTTTACTTGAAATGATAGGTGCAAAAATTTTGAACTCAATAGCCAATATATGTACCAGAACATGAAGGTGCAGATTTGTACTCATATATTTGCAAAATAAGTTTTCTGTACTATTTCACTTCCTTGGGTGTAGTTACCTGCTCTTCAAATGACTTTATACAAGCACCTTCTAAGGATGCATACAGTGCATCCTCATGTTCTTAATGGGATTTAACTGTTTTATGTATTGATCTGTCTTGCTTGTGTGTTATCAAGAGGAACATTATTTCAATTTTAAAGGCTTCTACTAAAAACAAGAACGTGAAATGCATTTCAAAAGAGAAATTTTTTGAGCAGGAAGTATCATGTCTCCTTAAATATTAAAACTTCAGAAAAAACATTATTATTTTTCTTCAAATATTATTTCACAAGAGTGATTAGGGTAATTTTTGCAATGTACATAGCTCTTTCAGTGTTCTGAGAACTGTTGTTTGTTCAAAGTATTTTAAGAAATTAAGGGTTAGAGGTGGGTTGCACAGGAGTGCATAGATTTTGACAAGTGATTTCAAAAAGAATCAGCTTAGGCACCAAAGTTTCTGTCTTGTGATTCAGACTACATCTGTGGGCAACATTTGAATATCTGAAGACAAAGATGTTGATGTATTTGTTCCTGCAGGGAATTAAATCAGTCTGAATAACTACATGTAGGGAACAAGTACTTTTCAGTTGGGGTATGTCTGCTGTTTGTTGTCAATAGGGAAAGCCTACCAGCAATTTTTCCAACTTCAACGTAAGAGGATACATAATTGAGGATGTATATTCTCTCAAAGCTGATTCTTCTGTGGACCATCACTTCAGCTACCTGTCTCTACTTGGGCAATAACATTAATTGTTTTATATATCAAAAACAAATTTTAGGCTGTTCTCTTATATTTCAAAATGTGATGAGATTAAGTCACTGTTTGGCTCAAGATTTTGAGTAATTCTAACCAACACAAGCCTTATTTATCCAGAAGTACCCATCATGCTAGCATTATTTTCAAGATGTGTTGCTTCTTCCTCTCAGATGAGTATTCTAAAATTTTCTCGGGTCTTTTTCTCCTTTATTAATTTTCAGTTCCATAACCTCCTACCAGGATAGGTAATCCTAATTTTCTTCACTTTAATCTTAGAAAGACTTGAATGCTCTTATGATTCTCTTGACACCATCAAAATGTTGTCTAGTATTATGTAAGGCCCTCTTCATGAAGGAGAGGCATTTCAGGGTAAATTGGCTTAGAGATAAAATAATGGGAAGACACATATTAAGCATTTCTTTCCACTGCCTACAAAATGTGGTGCAAAAGCTTGTAGTATGTTGGCAGAAAAGTCCATTGAGAGCTGGGGTCACAAACTGGATTTGCTTCTTCACTCTTTCATTTTTATGCTCGTATGATTCCGTTGACGTCAGAATATAATGTGTGATGGGATGGAGAATCGGGCCTTCTTGAACTGCCTACCTCTCTGACTTCCACTTCCTGAAGCATTTCTTAAATGGAATGCATTGTACTCTAGTAGATTACTGCCCTCAATGACCGTGGCTGTACAGAATGATGCAAGGTAGAACAGCTTGTCCACATTTTTCATTCTTGAAGACTTTACTTGCACATTGCCCAATCAGTCAGTGAGACAGAAGTCTGAACCCATCAAGGTGGATGTGAAGAATGAATTTTAGTCAAACTCAACTCATTTAATAGACCATTGAACTAGCCTGTTCCTGCTGTTGTATTTTGGAAAGAGTTCACAATTAGTAACAGGAAATAGTTGAGTTAGAAAGTGAGCATGGTACATCTACATATCTGTGTTCCTCAGTTCATCGGGATGGCCTTAACCATTGACCAGCACTCTTAAGACGCGTGACAGCATTAATTTCAGTCTCTAATTTGAGATGGTCAAGTCTGTAAT